AGAGGTTCGAATAATGGTTCAGTCAGGGCCCGTGAGACCAGTGGTACATCATATATTGGCTTCACCACACTCAGTGGAGGCATGATTTCAATCAATGCCTATATGAAGCAAAGTGCAGCAAGTGCACACATTCACCCTGCTGAGGTACCAGTCACCAGCAACAGCAACGTCTGGGCTAACATCATGGAAGCTCTTGCTAGAAGTACAGTCAGAGTCTGTGAGACCAGTGGTACGTCACATATTTGTTTCAACACCCTCAGCGGAGGCTTGAGTTCAATTGTTGCTTACATGAAGCAAAGCACCAGGGGCATCAACGCTCAATCAGTACCCTTCAGTACAGGTAGAGAATGACATAGATAAGCATTCACCATAGGCAGGATCTTCAGGTGCCAAATGCAAGACGACCATATCTGTTGAAAAGTAGTGAAAGGGGGTTCACAGGATCAAGCCTGGAGTTCACCCATTTTTCTTGCTGGGGTACCAGCCACCAGCACTTTCTGTGCTACCACCATGGAAGCTCCTTCTAGAGGTTCGAATAATGGTTCAGTCAGGGCCCGTGTGACCATTAGTACGTCACCTATTGGCTTCACCACACTCCGTGGAGGCATGATTTCAATCAATGCCTATATGAAGCAAAGTGCAGCTAAGTGTTCCTCTAGAGAGTGTTATAACACAGAACCTTTCAAGGCCTGAACGAGGAGTAATTCCAACAGACAAAAGCATGTCAAGCTTAGTAAAGCCTGTAAAGGATTGTAAGAGGATCTCAATGACCGTCTCAGGGATGCCTATACTAATATGGACTCCCGCATCAACACCAGAACTTGAGGATCCTGGTGTGTCATGGGGCCTTGTAATAGGTCTGGACGTACAGGAATTTCCCTTGGAGGTTCCAGAATCATCTTATTCGTCATAGGAATTAGAGTCGACACGGTCTTCCACTATCACCTTTTGCATTGCCTTTTTAAGAAGGTCGAAAACAGGAAAATATGTACATCATACTAAAATTCTAAATTTGAGCCAGTGTATCCTGAACCTGAGCATTCTGATCCTAGCATGTAAAAAATACTTCTGGACCTGGTAGTTCCAAGAAATGGCCATCAGACAATCTGCGTCAACCACGAGGATCCGTCAGGACATGGTTGCCAATCCACCTTGTCCACAGTTATTCGGCTCCAGCAAACAGCCATGGTATTCTGAGCCACTGGTTGTTCTTCTGTGCCCTGATCATTATGGGCTGGAATTCCATCAATACGTATCTGTGAGACCCATCTTGGTAGATATAGGATACAGTTGCATTGAAATTTGAGCAAATTTGGACCCACTCGTTCTTCAGCAAGCCTCTGAAGTGAAGAAGAGCCTAGAAAATGACTCTTAATTCCATACAAATGAATGGAAATATTGTGCAACATGGTCCAAACACTGTGTAACCAATCTTATAAAAACTGGAATTCGAGCTAATAATTGACCAATGAGGTTCTGTTCACTGGAAACTCAGAGATCCAATCCCTCTTTCAGCTGCCAGGGTAAGGTGCAACTCCACTGATGGGGACATAGTAAGTGGCTGGCTCCAATAATCTCTCTTATGTTAGACCAAAATAGGAAGGATCTGTAAGGAATCCAGAGATGCCATTGGGCCCCTCTGACAAGTCTGCTGGTGGAAGCCAGGATTCCTAGTAGTTGCATCCATTTTCTTGCTGTTACCAAGCAGAAATGAAGAAACTGGGAGAGAAAACCTTTACAATCTGTGGAACTGTTCCCGAGATAGGGAAAAGCAGAGCCTAGAATTTTCCACTCAGGAATGTCAATCACTGAGCTGGTCTGAAACTTTAGAAGTTATGAAAGAACTATATACCTATGTGTGCCTGCCTTCTGAAGGTCTAAGGCTATCACAAGTAGATCCTCCAGATAATGGAACCAGATGGAGTTCTGGACTCTCAATAACACAATAAGCACATAGAAAGATTCTTGGGGCCGCATTGAGGCCAAATGGTAGGGCACTAACATGGAAGTTCTCTTCTGAGCTAATGCCGAAGATCTCTGCAGATTGGACTGAAAGTAAGCATCCTTGAGATATATAGAGGTAAGGAAATTATCCTTCCAGATTGCTTGAGATATGGATCTGATCGACTCCATCCTGAAGACTAACATTCAGCCTCTTGTTGGCCCCTCTTAGGTCCAGTGTAGGCTTTCATGTGCTTTTCCTCTTAGCACCAGAAGAGAGGCGAAACTTGTCCCTGGAACTGCTCTTGTTCTGGGACCTAAAAAAAAAAAAAAAATCACCTCTTCATCCAGAAGGCTTCTTCCTTCAGTGTTTTACCTTTTGATTCATTGGTCTTAATACTCCTGTTGGTATGGAGACTCCTGTGCCGTTAAGAAAAAACTCCAGTCTATATCAATCTGTGCCATGGATAACACTCAAGCCTCCAGAGTATGACAAGCCCAGGTATGTGTGATCAGAAAAATGAGACTCCGAGTAATGGAGGAGATATGTTCATTGCTGAAGAGTAAAACAACTGCGTTATAGCTCCATTAGAACCTTGAAAGGCAGGTTTACCAACTGCCATGAGTTACCTCTGGAGTATTCCCTGCAGGGCCAGTAGCTCCATGTATCTCAGAAATACTGGTCACTGGAGGTTCTCCGGTCAGACTGAGGAGCTGGGATCCTTGGAACTTCCATCCTAAGGTACCAATATTTTGCAGCCCTCATTCGCCTTTTCAATGGAATTATCCAAAGTTTTCCCAAACAGCACCACCCCTTCAAATAGAATGGTGTAGAGGGCAGACTTGGAGGATGAGTCATCATCCCAGAAACAGAACCATAATGCTTTCTTAGCTGCTATAGATAAAGCCATTTGATCCACAGAATATCCTAGTTACATCTAGGGAAGTTTCTGTGAAGAAGTCAGTTGTAACCTGAAGACTTCAGACTGCCTCTTCAATCTTGGCTTTTAATATCTCTCTCCATAGTAGCCTTTAGATCTTTAATCACATATTTCATGTTTGTAGAAACAGCAGCGGAAATCACAGCTGGCTGGCCTCCTGCAATGGTAGGCGTAAAATTTTGGACAGGTCTGCGTCCACCTATGATCCATAAGTGTGCAACTTAGGTGGTGTAGTTCTGGGGTTGGAAATAACTTCCTCCACAGGGTAAGGCCTCTGGAACTTACTTTGTAAGCCCTGCCCGCATGTCATGTGGCTGCACAGTGATAGGTCATGCTGAAGCGACAACCTTCTGGAGGCAGTCAGTGCATAACCGATTCCTTCCACTGTATTCCCCTCATATCCAGATCCTAGTGAAGAATCAGACACCTGACAAATAACTACTAATAAATATTACCTGTGGTAAAGTATTAAGAAAAAATGTGCACTGTTAAATTCTATAAGAAACCAGTGAAACAGCTTTAAAACAGGCTGAAGACAGCACTTATCCATGTCTGGAGACCCTGCAAATACTTACCCAATAAGTGTATGTTTACTGTAATTTTCCCTTTATTTTAGGCACTTTCTGGCAATTGCCCTTATCCAAGATGGCTGCCACAACTTGTATTCCCACAGTGCAAGCCCTCTGTATAAGGCCCAATAAGGCACAAACTGCACACATGTGGGCCTATTCTGAGTGTGTTTGCTGTTAGAGACCAGGGAGAGGACTCTGTCTGAAGCCTACATGGCCCCTAAACACCCAGGGAACCGGGAATAAGTCACTGGGACCGAGGGGAAGCAACATAGATAACAAAAGTGCCTGCAAGGAAGTTTAAAAGGAAACCAGGAGCAAAAAATCAATTTTAAAGGCACCACAGTCTAAAGGCCACAAGGTATAAAAGGTAACAGTTTCCAAAATGTATCACAGTTTCCAAACAAACTGCAGTCTTCAAAAGCACTGCAGTCTTCAATGACTTGCGGTATTACATGCAACTTTAAATAAGAACAGTTTTAAATGCTTCCTAGTAAAAGCACAACCGCATTATGTACCACAATCTTAAAAATAAGGTACAGCTGTATAATGCACTAGTTTAACCTCTTAAGGACACCTGACATGTGTGACATGTCATGGTTCCTTTTTATTCCACAAGTTTGGTCCTTAAGGGGTTAAAGATATCAAAGCTTAAATGCATCACAGCATAAAAGCACAACTGCATAATGTACTACAGTAAAACAGCAAATAAAGTAATGAAGATAAAACATACATGTCCGTAAGTAAAGGGAGCAAATTGCTCACGTCCTAAGGGCTGTAGGACAGGAAAAAGACTGAGGACCTTAGGGATGGAGCCTCCTTTTAAAACCTTGTTGGTTTTCCTGTCCTATCGGCTGTAGGGGAGGAGCTAACCCATGTGTATATGCTGCCATGATTAGCCAGGAAAGGATTTTTATCCTACACTTTATTGATTAGCCCTGTGGGGCTGATTAAATTTACTTATACTGCATTTATCCCTCAAATTAGTCATCGCTGCTATCATATTTGTTGGTATTACTTACACAGTATCACGCATTAGGTATTGATCACCACCTGTTGAATATTTTGCACAATCCACATAGTTTCTCACCCTGGAATACCAAGGCTATTTTGCCAATTATTACTAGTGCTACAATAGAGTGAAGGATGTCAGAGTCCACTAGATATGCAGAAATATACTGCAGTAGTTTGGATTCATGACTTCATCTGCATTTACAGTCATTTATTCAGGTCACTAAGACTTGTGATTGTTACACAGGCTTTAATGGTAAAATGTTTTGGGGAAAGTTGTTCTGAATCTTCCTCACAATTCTGCATTTTATGTGAAATAAAAAATAAAAAAACGTTAGTAAAAGGCACCTGGAAGAGTGATATTGCTTTCAATACAACTGCATTTATTTAATTTGTAGAATACAATTTATACATTAAGTTATACAGGCAATAAATATGCAAAACGTAAATGAGTATAGGCAACTTCAGTCAACTGTATACAGCCATAATTTAAGACTACGCCAAGCATTTCAAAAGTTGAGGTTTTTGTTTTTTACAGGAAAAGACAAAAGATTTTAAAGTTACATTACTAGTTTAAGGAGTCGCTTGATAAGTTAAAAAGATGTCTACTACTAACTCCATGAAGTACCTCCAAGACCAACAACAAGACAAACTGCACTGTATGAACAACAAAAGAAATAAAAAAAATAAAAAAAAACTTATGGAAACATCGAACATCTTCCTCATCATTATAAAGTAAAGAATAAAGGGAGAGGACTATAATAAATATTGAATTAAATTAAATAACTTCCACTAAATTAGATTCTTACATTAAACTTCTGCTAGTTAGATAGTCACCATCTCCAACACAACAAAATTTATTAAATAAATAAATAAGAAATGATTTATTGCAGTATTTATACAGCTACTCAAACCCTTCCCGGTCCTACAGATAATAAAGTTTGTTTGCCAGAGATACATGTGGCTCCACGTGAATGCTTTGCCCCACCAAAAATGCTAGTTTATGAGCATACTGGCAAGGAGCAGGCACCCTGATCACACCCTGTTAACGAGAAGAGGAAGCAGTGTTAGTGAATAAAACATACAAAAACAGATTTATAGTGAGTGAGAAAACAGGCACAGTACTCACCGGCCAGTTATAGTAAAGATGGCAGAGTTTGTACGTTAATCTTTGCATCTGGTCTGGTGTCAAACCTCCATTATCGTAAACCACGTTGTAGTGAGTTGGCGACACTGTGCCTACTCTAACAGATTGGCTAATTATGAAAAAATCATACCTAAGAAGGGAAAACCGAAAACGTATATAGATAATTCAGATGTACATTAAGTTGTCATATCAAACAGATGAAGCGTACAATCTTACATCCCTGTATTAACCAGGCTGGATCCAGGTTTTGTAAGGTATAGCTCGGGCCAGGGGTAGGTCATTCACCACGTTCAGCAAACTAATAGAATATATCTTGTTTTCGAAGAAACCACTTAACACATACCATTCAGGCCTGGTGACCTCAACATCAACAATTGTGCCTGGTGGCGGGTTCTGCAGCCGACCTCCAAAAACTCCAAAGAATCTTGCATTGATTCGTTTCTTTACCACAATAACAGTCAGTCTGGGGCTAAAAAGAAAATATAAATAAAATTTTTCAAAAGACATGAAAATGCTTTTTGGGGATAGATCAGAAAAATTGCCTATTATGGCTGATTTTTGTTATAATGTAGATCAGACTTCCTCCAATATCAGTTTAACAAAACACGTTCATTGACGAATACACTGGTGTCTCGACTCGCATTCTAATTTTTCCCCAAAACGTTTCCTCTATTAAACCAACACTGCATTTCTGGAACATGTCCAATTTGAAAAATAAAATTCTTATTCCCTTCCGATATCAAGTGTTGCTTTTCGGCTAGGTTTACATAACAGTCTCTCCATAAAGGACTTAGAATACAAAGAAGGATCATTGCAGAAAATATATTAAACCCAAGACTAGGTGGTCATATATGAGCGGAAGGAAATTCAGTAATGTACAAGGCTAAAAGTACTGCATCCTGAGAGTTTATTTAGACTGTGTACATCATGTATGCGAAGAATGTAGCCCTGATTCTTTCAAGGCTTTTAACATTAAGGGCAAGTGCAATGCTATATAAATTCTATCAAAAACTATAAGCCCTGTCATTTTCATTAATTTTAAATGGGTTATATTGGAGTATAGATAAAGGAGAAACAGGCAAGTAAAACCCTTTATATTTTAGGCCAGCTACATGCCTTGAAACTCTCAGTACTTACAAAAAACATGCAGAATAGCACAGCAGCAACTACGGTTAGAGGAATCTTTATTCAGTTAACCGTAGCACAGCTTGAACTGCTGTGATAAAATTGGTCAGGCACTGTCCGTTTATAAAAACCAAATTGTCTGAAACTGGTTTAGTCCTTTTAAGACTCATAGCTAGGACTTTATCCCTCTGGTTCTAGTTTTAATCTAGGCCATGAAATCTGCAACCCTAAGCTATACCTTTCTCGCTTCTCCATTATTCACTGTTTGACCTGTGTTTTTGTCTTTCAGAATCAAATTGACAAAAAGAAAGGTAAATGCTTTTATCTCTGGTCTTACTTATCTTGACTTTTTAAACAATCCATGAACTGTGGGATTTCATAATTCACAAGTGTCTTCAGCTGACCATCTCCCACTCCATCCCGGTAGATGAGGACTCGTTTTGGTTTTGCATTATTTACAGACTCATAGGCTCGCAAGGCAGCTTTGAAGATATAATTACAAGACGCATAATAGCATGCAAGTGGTTTAGTAGAAAAAAAACATTTAAAAAAATATTTAAAAAAAAAAAAAAAGCAAACAAAATATAAAATAAAACAATGTAACCTGAGAACTACACTGTGTGGGGAGGATTGGAACTCCTAGTGGGTTAACTTTATTATAAGGAAAATTAGAATTTATTTTTACAAAATATTTGTTTAATTCCTTTCATGGTTGAGCCTTTTCAGAAATTCCAAGATGGGGAGGTACTACCAGCACTGTATAAACAAGTTAATTTAACTTCTAAATGGCAGGGAGCTGAAATGAAACACTGCGGTAGGTGGGAGGGAGGGATAAAACCATCTTTTATATGCACTGAATTGATAGTAGGCAGCCCAGAATTGACAGTAAGCAGCCCAGAATAGAGCATTTTGCTGGAGTTGCAACAAACCCCTGGCACACAATTGAAAAAAAACTCTTAATGTCACATCCAGACTCATACCACTATGACCAACAACCATGACCACTTCTGCCTTTTGAAATTGAGTAACCCTTCAATATTACGGTAAGTGGCTCAACAAGTTTACAAAGTGCAAAGAGAGCAAAGTAAATGGAATCCAATACTGCACATCATCCTCATCATCTTTTGTTACCTAGCATACAGACTTTCAGCCCGTCCACAATTTCTTGCTTCTGATCCTGAATAACACAGCGAGAAAACCAACTGAAAATAAAAAGTAACAATTTTAAAGCCAACTGTCACCTCCTAAGATTTTTAAATGTCAACTAAACCTTATTTAACATATCAATGTGAGGGGTGAGAAATATAATGTAAATGTAGATATTCACACCTCTAAATCCTGCAAGTGGGTGCCTTTAGCTTCACTCCTTTCCAGATATTAGAAGAGGAAGAGAGAAAAAAAAAATTCAAAATGTTCTCATCTACAATGCTTGCAGGCTTGCCTTACCTGAACTGGTATGATTTATTTCATTAAAACTTTAATATAAATGAAAAAAAAAAAAACTAATAAAAAAAAAAAATTAATGGACACTCCACTGCCCAAATAAAAAAAAATTAAACAAATCCCTGTTTAGTAAATATATGTGACGGTCACCCTCACTAGGGGGATGAAGATTGTCACTTTATGTAGGTCCCCAGCAGGGCCAGTGCAAGTATTTTTGGTTACACGGGCAAAAGTGCATTTTGCTGCCCCCCAACACAAACTGCACATAGATACTGATATACATGCACCACCACCTCACCTACTGCCAGAGTATCCTGCAAGAAACCCCTGGTTAGTGCAACTGAGACATGCATGTCCAGCCAGACACTCCCTAGAGCCCTATTCTGTATGCTAAACATAGGTGACCCGCCCCTCAGCACACAGTGTGCGCCAATCTAATGTTTCTTAGTAGTATGAATTCCCCTTCCTTGCAGCACTATATTATCCCTCCTTCCTGTATTACCTTGAATTATGTGTGCTGTGGCAGCTCCTACCTGTAGTGAACTGCAGCCTTCAACCTTCTGAGTGGAAGGCTCTTTCTCACTCCCTTGCGGTCCAATGCCTCTTGGCACAGTGGGAAAGCGGATCACGGGTCAAGGGGTGGGGTTTTGCAGACGGCAGTCAATGAACTGCTGCAGAGCGTTACAAATCCTCAATGAGGTCCTGCAGCATCCAGCTTCGTACTGGGCTTCAGCAGTGTGCCGTAGCACCAGCACAGCTGTCTAGAACAGCAAGTGTAGGGCTTCTAAGGGCTGGCTTACAGCAGCTGCTGTTTTTGTCCTGCCAGAAATATTTAAAAATCCAGGTCTCATATCTGTAGTTTCCCTTTAGGGTAAAAATAGCTTCTTCACCTCAACCCTCATCACTGAGCCAAACCCAGCGACCCCGATAGCGAATACAGGCCTCAGCATTAAATCACCCAGTTTTGATGGCCCATCACACACACCCCTGCAGACCCATAGCTGTGTACAGACTCACTCCACGCACCTACACACATTAGGCCTCAGCAACCGCTGGAATACACCTACTACTCTGGGGACTATGTGGGGGGGGCATATTCCTGTGTCGAACGAATGAGCACTATCACAAGATAACATACCAGTAGGCCTGACTCTAGAGCCGGGCATTACAACCGGAAGTTGCTCATGATACAGCTACTGACCGATGACACTTAGCCCAAATGTGTTCATCTTTACATCTACTGTACCATAAAATTGATCACTTCCCTACGCATTGCCTTACACAGTGGTATTGGTTTATCCAGACTTTCTTTTATTTGTTTAAGTTCAAGTTGTTATACCAGTGGCTTATTAACATGTTGCTCCCCGCTAACTGACCTTAAAGGGTAACCTCAAACCACTAGATACACAGGTAGCGACCTAATAGTATTAATCATAACTAGCATACACTTCACCGCAAACGCTTAAACATTCCACTGCCTATTCACAAAACCAAGCCGACGTATTGATCTACAAGACACTAGTCGTAAATTCAAGGCATACTATTAGCCTCTGCTGACCTCCAAACGTGCCAGTTACCATACAGTATTACTCCTGCTTACTCAGCACCTGGCAGGCCTTGCGTTGGCCTATTCAGAACGAAACTTGTTGCATACTATTTTTTGGCGTAACACTCAGGGACACACCGAGATACTCAATGTCGCAGCTTATACCAGGTTCAACTGTTTAGCCTTGTGTTGATGTGGAATAATTAAGCCTGTTATCTAATACTCAAATGCTTATAACTTGAAGCGTTACTTTTTTCTGTTCTTTAAAAATATAAAATAAAAATATGCAAATCCAACACCGTTTTGCTATGGATAGAATACGCAAGCCGGATAATGCTGTTGTGGCGATAAAGGCACTGCTGTACCTACCAGCATATCGAAAATAAAGCATTAAAAAAAAAATAATTAAAATCCAGGTCTCTGGCCAGGTGCTGGGGATTTGGATTTTTGCACCCCTCTGTTGTGGCCCCGTAAGGCAGCGCCGGACCTGGACCCA